TGAAAATACCATGGCTTAGATCAGTCCAGGAGCACTTTAGACTTTAAGCTGCCATCCTTAGGCTTTAGCACTTTAAAGAGGTTGTTGATAGCACACTTTTCCAGTGCAACATGTCTTTCGATGCAAATATAAAATTTAGCACATTTAGGGAAATCCAAGAAAGTGGAGAAGAGAATAGAAGAAGCAGTGTGTGAGTGAAGGCATGAAGTATATGGGAAGAGGAGGGTTTTTTTCATTGTCTAAGGGAAGAATGTACCAGGCACAGGCTAATGCAAAGGCTCTAAGGCAGAAATGTGCCTGTGATGTTTAAAAACAGGACAGCAAACAGTGCTGTGAACAGTTTAAAACAAACCAAAAGAAAACATGTTCAAGAAGTGGAATGCAGGGAATCACATGCAGTAGATATTTTTTAAAAATAAATGTATAAAAGCAAATTGGAAGCTATTGGAAGATATCCTTTGCTTGCTTTATGCTGTTCTTGTTTTCACATCTTTGTTCAAAAGTACCAGTTAGATAACATCAGATTAGTAAGGAAAGAACTTTGAGGTGTGCTTTGAGTTGGGGTGCTGAAGAAGAGTATTGAACATACCATCGACCACCTAGAGGACTATAGTGGAGAGAGTAAAACCAGGCTGCCCCTTGAAGGCAAGAATTTTCAGGCTCCGCATCGCATACTTTGGGCATGTGGCCAGGAGGGACCAGTCCTTGGAGAATGACATCATACTGGAAGGGTGGAGGGACAACACAGGAGAGGAAGATCTAAGATGAGACGGATTGACATAGTAACTGGGGTAATGGGGTGGGTGTGTTGGTGACAGTGAGATCGGTTGATAATAGGGCAGGGTTCAGAACTGTTGCTATGAGTCACAGGCAACTGGACAGCACATAGCAACAAGGGAAGAACTGGGGTCAGAGGTCTACCTTCTCATTGAGCGTATGTCTCATGATCTTAGTCTACCCTGGCAAAGATTTTGGAGAAATTTCCACTCTTGTCATCTTCCTCATCCTCTTTTCCAGTCACTCTTTTTGTCCCTTAACCCAGTCCCGTTTGTTCCTTCTGAAGACTGCATGGTGGCCCCCTTATCGTCACGTGACTTCTTCTCATTTAGGCCTCAGCTTGCTCATCTCCTCCCAAGGGAAGACTTTTGACCTCCCAGTCCAAGCTGGTCCCTCCCCTCAGTGGGTTCTTGTATAGCATTTGTCTTTTATATTTGTTTTATGTGTTTTTGTTAGTGCCTCACTGAGAGTATTAAATTATTTAAGAGAACTAAAACAAAAACTTTGTCACATTACTGCCGTGGAGCAGTACTGCTTCCACCTTGTCACAGCAGATTCCTCAGAAATGTTCTTGTTGTGGAAGAGGGATGTATCATTTAAGTATAAGGATGATAGCATTTCTTCCTTATTTACGATTTGTCATAAAGTGTAGGGTTTCAGTACTGTTCTGCGCATTTCCTGTTTTAGAGTCTCCAGTCAAGTCGTATGTCTGGCATCACTCAGCCACTTAGTGGAGTCTCTTCTTGACTATACAGCCTTGTCTTTGGTGATTGCACCACGTAGCCATTGAGAGGACCCATTCGCCCACAGTTCAGTACAGCAGAAACGGGGGGATTTCAGCATCCACAGAGCTGGACAGGAAAATAACATTGAGTAGCCCAAAAGATTAGTTCTTACAGGTCACATCTGGCCCACATCTTCTTCATTCAAAACCAAGAAAGTTTACCAAACATACAGATGTGTTCTTTTTCTTTAGGAACAACTCTTTCTCAATTAGAATGGGTGCTTTCCTACTCACTTCAACCCCCTACAGCCCATTTGACCCCTGGGTGTTGCTCCTCCTCTTCCTGCCCCACAGACATTGCGCATTTTTCAAGAGATCTTGTGAAGGTACAAAACATGTTTTTGAGTGGTTGATGCACATAGAGTTACACAATAAACACTAACTACTACCAGGGCAAAGTTGGGCTAACACTACCATGAGAGACTGGAAATCATTATGCACCCTGCCTTGTGATTTCAATAAATACCAAAGAATTTCTCCTGTTTGGCACCAGCCCCACCAATCCATGGCATCTCAACTAAATCAACATTACACTTTCTGTCTCCTTCATTTGCCCTCCATTGTCCAAAGTCAAATAAATCCTACTTTCTGGGATGTGAATTAGAATCTTTAAAGACAGCCACAGACAGGATATACATCTGAAATATTTCTGTAGCCATTCTGAGAGTTGATACTCTCTAGAGCTTGCCTAATACTCTGTTGCTTTACACCAGGCTTCTACACCAAACCGACTGCTCAGTTTGTATTCGGCTTCTAGCCTAATGTTGGCTCTCAACTCATCTGAAGTCCTGGATATGTAAAGATCACAGCCAAGAGAAGCATCTGGAACAGTTCTACTCTATAAGACATGAGATCTTCCTCAGTTATAATAGATTCAACAGCAACATGCATTCCCCCACCCCCCAGTCTTAAGAAAAGCTATTTGTAACCAAATACAATGCCTGCTCTTCAAATTTTTCTAAATAATCAGGAAATACATAGAAAAATCTCATGGAGTAAGGCTCAGTGTTAACATGCATTCCTTTATCTCTGCCTTGGCTCTATCTTTACTCTTTAAAAGTAAAAATAGCTATATGTTTTAACAGATTTATGGACATTCTGAGACCAGAGGACTCCCTAAACTGATGCCTGGAAATAATCTTGAAACATCTTGAACTGAAACTATCTCATGAAGCCATCGCTAAACTAAATAGCAGTTTTGTCCAAGTAATTGAAATGTTTGCCCTGATCAGAGTGCCTTTGTGAAGAATGTGTGTGTGACTATTTATATTGTCACAAGAATAAAGAAAATGGTTTAAAAATTATGGTGAGATTTTATTTGATTAACTTGTTAGGTTTTTTTCCTGGTGTGACGACTAATATTTCTGATCCTGCATTAACTAATGCAAGTCCTACCAGCAGTAGAAATTGAGCCGCGCCTTTTTCTTTAGCTACGCTAATTATTATTTAGTGAGCTCTGGTGGCCTAGTAGGAAGGAGCTGTCCTGCCAACCCAAAGGCACAGTTCGAATTGACCAGCTACTCCATAGCAGTAAGATAGGTAATCTCCTCCTGTGCCATATATTACCTCTGAAAACGCCCTGTAGAATTGGCTATGGGTAAATCGCAACTCAAAGGCACATTAAGCACCACTACAATTAATATTTACCGCATTGCCTTTTGATTGCACCTTCTGGGTTTCTAGTAATGCCTTCTTTTATTTTTCTTTTGCCTCCAGCCAATATTTTCTAAATTATTCCCTCCGATACATATGCATGAGATGCAGATTAAACCATGACAATTGGATTGTCAAAGGGAATAGTTGAATTCCAGGACAAACTTGTGAAAATTGATCACTCGTCGTTTTGTGAAGTCCTACATAGTAGGCAAGGGCAGACTTAATTGTCATTTAATGTGCTGTGTCATAAAACAGAGTGAGGCCTCGTTAGAGTATGTTGGCTGATGTTTGTGAAGTGCTTTGAGTTCTAACACAAAGCTAGCAAGATTTAGGCAATGATATGCACTTCTTGAAGAAAACAAATATCTTTCATATTTTGTAGTATGTAACTTTCTCATTTACTGAATTAATGGAATTAGACTAAAGGTTTGAAGGAGGACCTCCCTAGGTATCTCTGTATATCCTGTCTCGAGGAAGTGCCTGGCCTTTCATAAATGCCTGAGAACTGGAAAGACTGTAGGGGCACTGTCTTCTGTTACCAAGGGTATCATTTGTAGTAGATTTCCCAAGCCATTTACTTTACCTCGTGGTTTCCAATCTCATCTCAATATACTTTCTCTCCTTCAAGGGTATTTAATCTTTCATGTCTGCAATTATTTGATTTGCTAAATCTCGTGATCAACAAGTTGGGCAGTGAGCTAAAACCTTTGCCAAATAAAATGGCATTGTTTCTGACAGCAGGGGGATAGAGAGCCACTGCCATTATCTCTGGAGATTCTGACAGCTGTCGATCGAAGAACGTTAATCTAGTGACAGAGATGCTGTAAAAATTGATAGAAATTACACAGAAACCAGGAGTCAAAAAGGTTTGAGACTGCAGCCTGCCTTTTAATCTTCCGAGGAGTTTTTAACATTCCTGCGACAGTGAATTTAATGGCTCTTCAGTTGCGTTGTGCTTAAGGCTCTTTTTATTACAGGTAATTTTCTGCATAAAGCGATCGGCTCGATAAGCTGTATTTCAAAACTTTTAAATGCCTCTTATTACGTTATCATCACCGTGCTTGATTCATTTGTGCAACCCAAAAGGCTCCCATTTGGAGAGATTGACTCGCGTATCATTTTTTCCCCCCGTTTCTCCCCCGGATTTGTGGGAACGCTGTCATGTTCGTGTTCTGAAGGTTAATGCCCAAAGTCAAGCAGACAGAAGCCAAGTGCTGCAAGGTTTCCGAGATTAGGACTGATTCCCCTCACAGAAATAAATGATTCCTGCCATGTTCAGTGATTTTGTGCAGTGCTCCCCACGGCTGAGCGAGTGCATCGATACTGTAGTCCTCACATGCTGTACATACTGATGACACTCGGTGTTAACTTGATTGACTGAGCAGTGCTCTGGAGAGAACGCACCTGCGAGACAAGTGCAGACACATATATTTTTATCCTGGCTTCGAAACATTTCTTTTACATTTCTTTTCCCTGGGACGGAGACTTTCCGATTCCATGGGCTCTCAATCCACGCTGCTCAGGTAGAATAACCTGAGCGCCAAGTGGTGCTTTGTTGTCAGAGTTGCCCCGAATATGGTCACAGGTCGGTGCCCTTTGCCAAAGCCCCGTTTGATGCTTTTGAGGGACAGTGGCAGGGAAGGTGACTGTGAAGCCTGGCAATTTAGTGGCTGTGGGAGAGGTTGCGTGCAGCGCTGAGCAAATGGATGGTGGAATGCAATGATGATCAGAGATCATTTCGGGTTATATTATTTATGCTCTATCTTATTCTCATGTTTTGTAGGCTTTGAGACAACAGCAGAAAAGAAGAAATGGAGTCTCAATGATGGTAAACAAGACTGTTCCCCGTGTGGTTTTGACACCATTAAAAGTGTCTGACGAACAGTCGGATTCGCCTTCAGGTAAAAGCGCTGAAATATTGTATGCTTGGCCAGTTTCTCCCTGGAGGAGACTTCCTCACAGACGGCAATGTCATGTCTGTCTTCTTTTTTTTCTTCTTCTTCTTCTTCTTTCAGAATTGGAATAATATTTCCACTTGAGGTTAGACTTAATTTGCGCCCCCTCCCCCAAAACCCATTTGACTGTTTCACAAATTCAGAAAATACAGGCTATTCCACTCTTTCAGAAAAGAGGCACCAGTTCACGCCTCACCAGTTTGCTAAATGCCAGTGGGTGTGATAAAAGGGGTAGTCAGGTTCCGTGGATTGTTGTTGTTGTTGCTGCTGCTTCTGCTTTTGTCTGGATGTTGAACTTTAATGGTAGACCACATGCTGATGTGTAATGCCATCAATAGCAGTTCTTCTCTGAGTGTGAATATGCTTCTCACTACTGAGCTGCAAAAAATCAGGAATCCACACTGTTAGTCTTTGTGTTCTGGAAATAAGGCTCACCTTCCTGAAATCTTGACCTTTTCTCCTCATTTACCTTCTGTCACTTTATCAGCTCTCTTTGTTATAGATTACTGTTTGCATTTTCTGTTCCTACTTCAACGTAAAGTTATTTATAAATGTCCGATTGCCCCTACTCCTCTTGGTTCCCATCTTATGCCTTGTCCTTTCTCTATCTCGCATTGTCTCTAAAAGGTAACACACTGTTAAGGCTCTGTGAATTTTTTTTTCTCCTTTGAACAAAAGATCTGGCTCTATTTCTTCTAAAAAGCTATCAGATCCATGAACACTTTCCTCCCCCTCTCCTTCCACTGTAAGGCCATCTGTTCTTGCTTTTTGTTCTGTGTGATTGATTTATTGGTCTTTTCTCTTCATATCCAATAGGGGAATCAGATTGTAGCCAAAGGTAGTATATTAACTCTGAGGAAAGGAGATTTTATCCATGATTTTTTTTTTTAAAAAAAACCACAAAAACAGAACCTATTTTTTATTTTTTGCTTTTCAAGGACAACAAAAGGAAGATAATGACATAATAGCGATTTCTTTTTTTTTTATTTTTAGGATCTGAATCTAAAAATGGTGAACCAGACAGTTCAGATAAAGAAATGAAACATGGGCAAAAATCTCCCACAGGAAAACAAACAAGTCAGCACTTAAAACGATTAAAAAAGTCTGGTTTAGGTGAGTGATCAGCGGACTGTAGCACTCCACATTTCAGAGATTTATATTTTTCAAATGAAATTACAGAACATTTCCAAGACTTAGCTTCTTTTTTTGGATAGATAACCAAGGAAATAAAAATGTTTCTAATTTATCTGAAGTCAGCATGGATGCTAAACAAAGAAACACTGTAGTTAAAATTTTATGATCTTGAGTTTATTGCTAAATGTGAGTGATGTTTAAGAGGTTTAAATGATATAAATATTTAAATATGTGCTAAGTTATGATTCTTTTTAATTAACATGCAAAGTTTTGCCTTTGCACGTTACCCAGATTTATTGGCGTGCACTGTGCTTGGATAATGACCAGTTGTAAGAAAGATCCATTGAGCGGGGTAGGGGTGGACTGTCATTAGGTTCTGGTGCAGTAAAAATGTGCTGCCTTGCTATGGGTCTTTGGTGCTTGAAATACTCAGTCGTGCCTGCCTAAAAAAAAATGGAATGAAAGTGCTGAGAAGTGTGGGAGACAAATTCCATGAATCTTGCAAGTCAGCAGCACCAGGTTGTCTTCTGAATCTTCCTTCCTGCTGTCCTTTCATGTGGAGCCTGCCAGCAGCATTTAGGTGAAAATGAACATGTGGATTAAAACGAGAGGAAAATGAGTTGACCTGAACATTATCATTCTGGACCGTGCCTGCCTTGTTGAATGACCTGAACCTAATGGCTTCATTTCTCTCCCTTAGTTATTTCACCTGTGAATAGGGATAATGATAATGACTTGGATCATTGTAACATTTTGTAAAATGATTTGTAGAAACTACAGGTTTATGCACTGAGCTTTATTACTGGTTCTGCTGCTCACTTTCTTGGTAGATTAGGAGAATTTTTATTGGCAGACTTTATCTGTTTGTGAAAACAAGGCATAATTTTAATCCATTAAATCTACTTCTGTAAAGATTTATTGATTGTCCACCATATTCTAGGAGTTTGCTAAATACAAGTACTATCACTGCCAGTAAAAAGTCACTGGAAAGGATTTTTAAACCTTCAGAGGAAAAATCTTGGGAGAATTAGTTCATTTTAAATTCCTTAAACATAGCATGGATTCCTGTTTCATTATTTGCAAGTTCAGATAATAAATTAGTTGTTATTTAGCCCAAATGAGAGAAAGATGAACAATCTCTTCCAGTGAGATTGAAGGGACAGTGGTGGGTGGTTTCCAATCAGATGTCAGTGAGTGAGTGTCAAGCCCTAATATATTTCTGTGTAACTGTGCTTCCATGTTCACGAATATCTTCCCCGCCTACCCCTCACCCCATTTCTCTCAGAGTTTTGAGTATTTTCACATGAGCAGTTTCTGGAATAGAGAACTACAGAGAGGTGTAATATATAAAAATATACTTTTTAAAAAAGAAGTCCCCAAACTACCATATTATGCCACTTTTAAGGAAGTTGCTCTCAAGTTTCCAAAGAACTTCAATTAAAAACGATATATTCAAGAACAACAAAATAAAATTAAAATGAAAAAGAGCATCTACAACCAAACCAATCTGTCAGCCACCCTCAGTAAAGTCAACACCATATGCGGAGTTTAACCAATTGAAGGAACATAGTGTTGGTAGATGTCATTTAGTCATTTTAAGAAAAACAGCACTCGCTTGGTCCCATGTTACAAGGAAAACTGTAGGATTTTCCATGGTTCTTAGAGGAGCAGACCACAGGTCTATTTTTCTGGGTGCAGCCATGAAGGTTCCAACCACAAGCCTTTTGGTGAGCACCTGAATGAATGCTTAAAAGTGTTGACAGGAGGCTTTCTGGTTTACTAGCCAGTTAAAGACTGGAAATCAGTGCGACTCTGCAGGAATCTGGATCCTCTCAGGTGCTTCACATTGCCTGTCAGGAATTCCGGATTCCTAATTGTAATTTCCTGGAGAACCATGCTCAAGTAAATATAGAACCAGAACCAGAACTTTTTTTTTAAGGTTTTTGGATTTGTGGTTTTGGGGTTTTGTTTTTTTTGGCTTGTGTTTTTGGGTGTGGGTTTTTTTGTTTGTTTGTTTGTTTGTTTGTGGGATGGTTTTTTTTTCTTCTTCTGTTTTCGGCTTTGTTTTTCTCTCTCTCTTTTTGTGTACCATCAAATCAGATCCAACTGGCACAGGAGAAAAATGTCCCGTCTCCAGCGGAGCATCCGGTGGATTAGAACTGCGCACCTTCAGTACTACAGTGCAGCTAGGCCACCAGAGCTCTCTAGAACCTTGTTTTCTTCTTCTTCTTTTTTTTTTTTTTAAAAAAAGGTACTCAACTGAATACACCAAGACTGATAATGTAGAAGGAACTCCTATCTGCCACTGAGCACGTGGTAACAATTATACTATGTCAGAAGAATGTCAGCTGACTTGTTATCGATTGAAAATAGGAATAAAGGGAACCATGATGCTCTTTTCAGCCTGCTTAATTTTACATAACCCACAGGCCGAGATATTAAAGCTACTTCAATGGAGAAGTGGAGAAGTTTAATCATATTTACTGCCTGTATTATAATGACTAGTTATTTTGACATCAGTTATCTTGTTTATAGTTCACCTTAATTGCATACAGTCAGATTTCTCTTTTACAATTGAAGAAACCATGGCTCATAAGGTTTAGGGAGGTTGCAAAGATATAAGGCAAGCATGCCTGTGTCCAAAGACTAAACTGTCAGTGTTGCATATGGCTTGAATGTCAAATCATCTACCCTATGTTATAGACTTGTAAGTATCACGGTGAAGCTATATCTGTGTGTGCTGAACCAGTGGTGATGGTAAAGTGGAAGTAAATTGGTTGCAAAAGAAAGGGAAACTTAGGACTTAGTAAGGAAGACTTACTGGCTAATCCTGATTATCAAAGAGGAGGAGAAAGAAGTTGAGATTTGAAATAAACTAGTTAAGGCAGGTGACTCAACAGTAAGTGGAAGGAATTATGACTAACTTAGCAGGCAGCAGAGTGAAATGGTTTCTTTGGGACAAATGAAGTCAGTAGTTATTTAGACCCCTTTATGTGCCACCACATAAAAGTGGGAAATGGGAAAGTCATAAACGTAACCATCTCCAAATCTCTTTTAGAAAGTTGGGTGTTTGATGCTCAGTGATATTTGGAGTAAGCCCTGATGGCTCACTGGTTAAGTACTTAGCTGTACACACCAAGCTGTCTGGCAGGATGCACTAGCTGTTGTGTGAGTGAAAAATCCTGTTACTCTAATTCTCAAAGGAGAACGGCATAAAACACCCTATGGGGTGATTCGCCTCTCTCATGGGGCTGTTATGAGTCAAAACCAACTCGATGGCACCACCACCACCAAATGATAGTGAATGAGGTAGATGTCGAGCAGTGCAGTTAATGACCTTAACTTTATTAACGGAAAAGATGGAGATTTTGGTCCACCCAGGAGTATTATGGAAGAAGAAATAAGCTGTTTACACCTTTGGAGTACAGTTCTTCTCTGACATAAATGAATCCACTCACTGACAGATACAATATGACTTTAAGAACCTCGTTGTTGTTAAGTGCCGTCAAATCATAGGCAACTCATAGCAACCCTATGAACAAAAGACCTGAACACTTGTATAACTTTCATCCTCTCTCCAGCTTCATAGGGTTTCCAGAGGCAAGCTATTTCAGAAGTGGATGCCACTCCTGCTTCCAAGCTTGTTTTAATTGGGGAGCTCCACCAAACACTGTCTACCATGGGTAACCATTACCACATTTGACACATCAGTGTCACAGGATGAACTTGTTTGTTGTCCTAGTAGTCCATGGTATTTTCAATACTCTTCTCTAGCACCACAGCTCAAAGGCATAAAATCTTCTTTAGTTATCCCTAGTCATTGCCAGCTCTCTGATGCATAGCAAATAATTGCCCAGACTCTGGCCTGGACCAGGCATACCTTAGTCTCCAGACTGACAGTGTTGTTCAGTACTCTGGAGAGGCCCCTAACAGCAGACTTTCCCAATGCAATTCATCTTTTAATTTCCTGAATGCTGGTACCAAGACTGATTGCTGATTGTGGAGCCAAGCAAACTAAAGCTGTTAACAATCTCAATCTTTTCACCATCTATCATGATGCTGTCAAACAGTCCAGTGGTGAGAATCTTTGTTTTCTTCATGTTGAGCATCAGTCCATATTGAAGGCTACAGTTCTTGGCCTTTTGCAGCAAGCACTTCACGTCCTCCTCAGTTTCAGCAAGCAGGGTTGTATCTCTGCATAACACAGATTGTTGATGAGTCTTCCTCCAAACCTAATGCCACATTTAGTCCTTAATATGCTACCATTGCTCCTCAATAATTTAAAGAGTTTTCTGGCTATAGACCTTCTCAAGTATGGCATATCTTCTTATCTCCTGATTGCTTGTACCGACTGAATTGTGTGTGGATCCAAGTAAGACGAGGTCATTGACATTATCATGGTCATCTCTTGGCTATTCTAGTTCTGATTGTTGTTGTTAGGTGTTGTTGAGTCAGCTGTATCTCTTAGCTTCTCTGTATGAACAACATAACAGATCCTTGTCCTGTACCCTCTTTACAGTCTGATGTACTGGAGTCCAATGGTGCAATCATCATGTCAAACCATCTTATTAGGAGTCCTCCTTTCTTTTGATGATGAACTACTTTTATCCAGCATGATTTTGTTTCCCAAGGATTAATTGCCCCTGACAACATGGCCAAAGACATGGCCATAAGACAAAGTTTCACCATCCTTGCCTGTAAAGAGCACCTTGGTTGCACTTCCTCCAAAGACAGATGTGTTTATTCTTTTGACAATCCAAGGTTTACATTCCGTACTTTTCACAACACCAAATTACAAAGGAATCAATCCTTCTTCAGTCTTCCTTACTCATTTCCCAATTTTCAGAAGCATATGGTTCATGAGAAATATATGACAAAACATGGAAGCTCACTAGTTTACTGGCTTTTGTTTGTTTTATTTTTGTTTATTTGCTCTTGGTTCATGTTAGATACTAAGTCAGGTAGAAAAGTCCTCTGAG